TATCATGGATAACCAACTCCCTAACTATTTCTGTTTTTTATTATTTTGCTAGAGGCCTGTTGCATGAAAAGATTTGTGCAATAGGCCTTCCCTTCCCCTGGCTGCCGGCACCGGTTTTCCTCTGGCACCAGGGACCCAGGCCTTCGCTCCAGCCAGAGCCGCCTTCAGTCTTCGCTCTGCCGCTTCACACCTATGTATGCAAATTAACCGCCATCTTTGTTGGTGGTTAATTTGCACATCTCGCTGATTAGCCAATGGGAGGCATAGCGAAGGTACGGTCAATTACCATGTTTGTCTATTATTAGATAGGATTGATAAGATACACACACACACACACACACACACACACAAGTAAGAACCAGTTTCACCAAATTCCTGATTTAACCAGTTAAGTAACCAGAACTTTATAAGGCATTGGTAAAAGAGGTCATCTTGAAAAGTATAGACTCCCTAAAAATAGCTAATTTATTAACAGATATTTAAGAATTGATTTTATTCCACTAGAATTGGTACAACCAATGTTTTTAAAAATTCTAGCTGCATCTTATATCATTTGTATACCTATATAAAGATACAGGTCAGCATTCATTCAAGTATGTTTTATTTTACATGATATGGAGATTCCTTACAATTTTGACATAAAACAATGTTTTAAAAACTTTGAGCATGTTCTAAATTTGATGAAGAGGAGTTCTTGTGATCAAAAGGACTTTAGATGGAAAAGTCTCATATTGAATCACTCATTAATAACTGATTTTATAAGACCAGATTCATGTGTAGAGTTGGCTTAATGTGAGATTTGTGTGAATTCCAGTGGCCTTCTCCTTTCTTTCACAAAGATCATCTCCAACACTGTAAGAAAGTGAGTCTAGAGTCAGAACATTCAAACCAACCCTGTGGACCGGCCATGACTCCATTTCTTGAAGAGAAGGAGCCCAGGGGGTTTTCAGTTAGGTTGGAAGTAAGCTTGAGACAATCTCTTCTCCTCTTTAAAGAGACTCACCCTCACAGTCAGTAGGGAGAGAGCCACTCAGGGTGGAGCGCCACACCTGCAGCCTGAATCAATTTCTCTGTTTCAGACCCACCCCTGTCTCGTTCTACAGGTTGGCTGTTCTTACTGCCACACCTCAGGGCACTGTCTGGAACCTTTGATATTCTGACTTTGCTCCCTGGCTACAGAGGTGTTCGTTTTTTATACCATTTTGCAAATAGCTCTACCACTCCTTAAACTAGTCTAGTATTTGCACATGTTAATTACCAGTGGAACAGATAAATACGTGAGCGTTCAAAACAATGATTTTAACAGGCAAGGAGGTCTAGGAAATGAATGGCTCACACAAGCAGATCAATATGGTCAAACCTTTGCCTAATCTACCTTCTTTCCTCTCGCTTCCAGCTCAACTTCCATCTCTCTCTGCTCCTGCTGCTGACTGTCTGACAGGAAGATGGAAAAACTCTTCCCTGGAGGAGACAAGACGAGGTCGCGTGTTGTGTACACGGAGCCATCTTCCAGAACTCTGAAGTCGGGGTCACTTGTCCGGATTAGGCTGGCCGACCGGAGACACTCCTTCACACTCACTGCAGGGAAGAAAGATCACAGTCATTTGTAAGATGAACCAGCAATAGAACGAGTTCTACAGGAATAGCAACTGCAAGTCAGTGCATGAGAAGCAGAAAGTTACACTTGGAACTGGTTGAGTGCCGGCTGTTCTGAGGCTGAGAGGCCGTGAACAGTAAATAATTAAATTAATGAAGCCCCAGTTTCCACTGCTTTCATCATGAGTTAATTTATGAACAGACAGAAAACATTTTATTAGTGTCACCGGATTTATTGTTTCCACTTTACATTTTACTCATGGACCTGTGCACACATATAAAATTTGTTGGTTTATATTGTATTAGTAAACTATGACATCAGTAGATTTTGAACATGTTTGCAGTAATCTTTGATAGTTAAATCTTGCTCACACAAAAGTACACAGAACTGGTCTGTACTTATATAATACTTCTCAGTAATATTGCAAATAATCATTTCATAGTGTCTTTTGAAGGTTTAATAAATGCAATACTTTGAATGTATTGTGCTTGTCATCAAAATATTTCTTTTACAGATTTATGTTTAATACATTTAGCATATTTATTGTGTGTCTTTAGAGTACAGACTGCATATCATTGAAACGTTCTAAAAAAATAAAGAATTAACTTAAAGCCCTGGTCCAAGCAATCTCTATCTTGCAAAGAGCACCACCTGTGTATTCAAAGTGTATTTTTCTAAGGTAACCTTAAGCCCATGAAAACCCTGATGGGAGGAATGTTATCTTTGGACTCAGAACAACCAACCTATGCTTCCGAGGTGGCTGTAATGGTAAGACCAGCTGCAAATTTACTTGACAAGACACTCTCTGGAACAGATCACAGAAATTCTGGCGGGGTATCGGTTCATTGTAATCAACCCCAAGCACAACTTTGCTTCTGCGGCCTTCCAGTTTTGAGACCTCTGCTTTACACATTATCAGTGAGAAAATCTTGGCTTTGGAATTTGGGCAGCAGGTTGGTCAACATGAACTAAAATACGCTTCTGGTTTTGGTGTCTTGCTTTGTTTGACCTAAAGGAGGATAATTTAGCCCTCTGATGTTCACTAATTTTTCTGGCATGAAAAGTATACAACCAACCTGGCACCTGAGTTGTTTCTAACCACTTTCAAACTAGACCATCTTTCATTTATGTCAAATTTTAATGCCAAGCATCTACTGTATGGCTTTTATCCCAAACTTGACAAGAGCAGCCTGAAGCTAACTGTACAGTCAAAACTGGAATTCGTAATGCTGTTTCTCACCTTTGCCTACAAGTGTTTCAGCCTGAAGATGAGAAGGAACTTGAAGAGAAATTTTCTGACAAGCATCGCAAAACAATATTAAAACCTCAAAAGAAAGAAAAATCAGGAATTACATTTCATTATAAATTTTCACATTACAGTTTTGTCTTATTGGTAAAAATATTGTCAATTTCAGTAACAAAGAAATGTTCTAATCCTTCATTTTTTTCATCTTTATTTTAAAAGGAAATAGCAAAGAAAGTGGCTTGAGGGGCACCACAGTCATTTAGTATTGATGAAATAACTAAAGTGAACAGTAGTTCTTGGCACCTAAATCACATTAAAAATTTTAGGAAAATGTGTTACCAACCATTGATTTCATATAGAAGTTATCATATAGTAGTCATTCATAAGTGTCATTCTGATTTTTTAGCATAAAGCAAGTACTTAACCCTGGAATATAATAATGACATTGTTATACACAAACCATCATTTTCACAGACCCCCCCCAATTTGAGGTTATAGTTGATTAGGTCTAGAAAATATCTGAAAATTCTTTAATCTCTTAAAGAACAATACCCAAAATATTCACTGATATAAAATCATTTCTTGGATTGGCTTGGCATAAACATCAAAGTCTAAATTATA